GCTGAAGTTTCTCTTGGCTAATAAGGGGAGTTGTTGGAAATGTTCATTCATTTTTGGTGAGCTCTGTTCTGCCTTAGACATGGAACTGGGCGATGCACGGGGTGGAGATGGTGATGGGACCGATCCAGAGCAGGCTGGGGGTGGTTTTGATGTTTTTGCCTTTTGCAGGGGCAGCGAGGCCACAGGACCTGCCATGGGTGGGGAGGTGGAAGGTTGCAGCCTCTGTCCATCTCCTGGGGACCTGCTGAGTGCTCCTGCTGCTCTGCTTGTGTTCTGTTGGGGTTCTGAGCTCAGGTTTGGGGTCGGGAAGACTCCCAGCTCATCTGGTGTAATTCTACTCCAAATTCAGCATTCCACCGGCCTCTGCCTCAGCTGCCTCTCTCCCTTTGCCTCTGCAGAACCGCCAGACTTTCAACAGCCTCAGCTGCCTTAGCACCACGGCCGAGGACGGCTCCCAGCGGCTGGCGGGTCCCCAGGCGTGGCCCGCGGCCCCCGAGGTGATGCCGGGCAGGACCCCCGCCTGCACCCCGGTCCCAGAGCCAGCACAGGCCAGGCCCCATGACCCCCAGGCCAGCAGGGATGACCTGTCCTGCGAGGAGGAGGAGGAGGGCGCCGGGAAGGAGGAGGACAGGGCGGCCTGGCGGAGCGTCGCGCCGGGCACCGAGAGCCTCTTCCAGCTGGATGGAGAGATAGACATCGAGCAGATAGAAAACAACTGAGGAGGGAGCAGCTCTTCTCACCCTGGGGGCTGCCAGCAGAGCCAGGGAGGGCTCCTGGTTGCCAGCGAGTTTGTGGGATCCTGTCATTGCTCCCCTTCTGCCAGCTGGAGGGGATGAAGCAGCTTTGCCAAAATTTCATCAGGTATTTAGAGGAATTCGTGTGCATGCGTGTGTAAATCTTGAAATTCTTTGTAACTACTGTAGCCAGAGATCAGCCAGGCCGAGGGAAGTGCCTGTCCCACAGGGAAACCAGGCACGGGGATCGCCAAAAACTCAGAATCCACGAGTAAACGGCTTTTGCCAGGATAGGGGTGGAGCTGATGGAGCTGCCATGCTCCTGCAGGTCCCACCTGTGCTAGTTCAGAAAGGGGTGCACAAAGAGAAACCACCACTCCTGGGACTGGAGAAAGGGGGGAAAAGCAGAATACTGAGATTTGCAAACGAGCACTGGCTGGTGGCCGCCGGGGTGACCACGGTTCCTTTTCTGCGGCCGCATCCCGTGTGGCCCCAGCACCCTCCTCACTCCCCACGTCCCTGGCAGTGCCGTGAGGAGGAAATCACAAGTGAAGTGTTTTGCTTAAATTTAATAACGGCAAGAGCTGGATTTTTACTCCTTTATTTTTAGTTTTCCTTTTCCTGATGAGGAATTAAACAGATCCCTGGCCCGTGTGGGGCGGCACCCGCAGCAGCGCTTGCTGGGCGCTGAACGGGGATGCTCCAATGCCTTCCTTCCCTTCTTTTTACCTTCCCAGCCCCCCTCTCTCAACTCTTTTGGGGAAAAAACCCTACTCAGGCTCTGTGCCACCCTCACTTGGGTTCCCAACACCCTGTTTGGAGCAGGGCTGGGCTGTTTACCCATTTACCAGCAGCTGTGCCCGCTTTGCTACCCAGGGCACGGCTGCCACCCTCTTTTTTGGCTTTACTGTGAAGGGCTGCCTGCCCAAGGCACGTCGTGGAGGGGTTACTTGACAAAGTCAGCTGACAAAAGGCTGAAAATCCAGGTAGCAGCACTGAAAGCTTTTCCTCTTCCTGTGCCTTTTTAAAGCACAGATAAAGTGGTGACCATTATGTTTGTACGATATGAATCCTCTTTGCTAAAAATAAGCTGTCCACTTGCTAACAGGTTTAGAAGGACACATATTTCTTTTTTCTCCCTCTGTTTTTATTTTTATTATTTTGTTTAAAGCTCTAGGAAAGCTGTACAAATGACTTCCAGCATCTTCTGGATTCCTTCTGCTGGTTCCTTCAAGCTCAGGGGTCACTTCCTGAGCTTTGCAAATGTGAGAAAGGAAAAAAAAAACTCCATGATACCAAGAGCAGCTGAAGACAGGACATTTTTAATGGGGTTCAGCAGCACCACTGTCAGTGCCTTGAGGGTCCATAACTCGGAAAGGCTGAGAGCTGCTGGTACAGGTTTCATTCATAATTTCTGGCTATATTAGTGCACTTTTTTCTGCAGTGGTTTGGGATGTGTGTGGCACCTCCCGCCACAGTGGAACCCATTGGTTGTTACCCCTGTCCTGGCACTGCTGAGGTTTTGCTGGTGGCTGTGGCCATGTCCACTCCCTCCAGGCAAGCAGGACAAGCCCCAGATATTCAGGGAAGGGATGACAGGGATGTCTTTTCATTTTGGGGAACCCTCCAGCTCTTTTAAAGTGTCACTTTATGCATCACTTAGAAAAAAATACATCCTGGGTTAATTTTTATCCCTCCTGTTGCGGAGGGTCCAGCCACACCAGTGTTTTCCCAGGCTGCTGCCCCTCTGTCTGTGCCCCTGCAGTGGCACCCTCACAGCAAAGTTCTTGGCTTTGAGTCTTCCTGATGCTCCATCCATCCCTCCCCACCACTGACACGTCCTGGTCTCGGGGCACACAGCTCCTGCTGGCCACAGGCACCTCCTCAGTGAGCAACAAAGGGCAAATTCACCCAAATCCACGTCTGGCTCGGGGTGGGCATCCCCAGGGCTGGAATTCCTAAGGGCTTCTGTTTTCTTTCCAAGGGCTGCTCCTGGTGCCATGCTGACCCCCAGAGTGGGGAGGTGGCCAACGGGCCCCGGCCCGGCTGTCCTGGACGTAGCCGTAGCATTCAGTTTACATTCAGCACAACCCGTTTGCCTTACTAAAAATGCTTCTCCAATGAGTCATGGCCTTACACTGGGCACGTTGGCGTAGGCACAGACTACAGTTAGCAACAGTTTTGAGGCCACAGTGGTGTTCTGTTGGGAATTTCTCATTGGGTTTGTATGATTTCATGTACTTATTCTCAGTTTAAGAAAGCCTTACTTTAAAATTTTTTTTTTCTCTCTCTCTCTCTCTCTCTGTAGAGGTAAAACATTTGTGGATTTATATATATATAAATATATATATAAATAATTAAAAATAATAAATATAATATAGTATGTGCCTCAGATTCAGGGGACATCCTGTTGATTGTAGAATCAGAAGTGGCGTTGCTCCCCTGGTGTCAGGAGATCTGTCCCCTGCGCAGTGGAAGAGCAGGGCATCCCTTGAGGGCCTTGCTCTTGGTTTGTAAAGGACTTCACCTATTACACAGATGCTTTGGGAGCCCCCCAAATCCCCCGGCAGACCCCTGCCGGCTGCCAGAATGTGATACTAAAGTCATATGCAGACAAGGGATGTTATTCCTTGCTAGGTAGCTAAAATAGGTTCAGTATTGTGAAGAGACTCAGTGGCTTGTCCAAGGTGTGACCCAGTCTGGGCAGCAGCTGTTTTGGGATGACACCAAAGCTGTGGCAGCAGCAAAAAAAAGATTCTTCATCCTGAAAAAAAATAGGATTTTAACACAGAAAGTCTTAGCAGGCACACGGGAGTTTGCTGTGTGTTTTGCAGATGTAGCTCTTTGAGCCTGTCCTATGAAAGAGTACATTAAAAAAAAAAAAGAAACCAACGAAAAGAAGCATTTGTAAAATAGATTGTAATTTTTCCACGTGCTAGCATAGCCTGTTTGGCCAATAAAATTGTGTTTCAAGTGCATTGTTTGAAGCTCCTGGCTGCCCAGGCTAACAGACTGACGTAGGATGTTCTAGGATTGTAGCAGTGCTTTGCAGCGTGTGTGAGTTCGGTGTTCAAGAAAGAAAAAGAAGAGGATGGCCAAATTAAAAACAAAACAAAACAAAGCAGAAAGATGGGAAGAAGAATAAAAACAAAGCCTTCTGAAGCTATGACCTGTAGTAGCCAAGTCTCGCTGGCAATTGCACAAGCGCCGCGGGCCGTGCGTGTCCCGGGAGGGGCTGCCCCAGGTGTCCCCTCCGCGAGGAGGCTGCTCCTGCCCCCTCCATGACTTGATTGCACTAGAGCAGCTCAATCTCAGGAAATTGCTTGTTACTTTTACTGTGTAAATAAAGCTTCCTGGTTCAATAACCCGCGTCTGGCCGCTCTGTGCCGTCCCCGCGCCGGGCGCGGCTCTGGGTCCGGGGGCGTTGGGGACATCGCTGACCCATGGGGTTGTGGCACTGGTTGGGGTTTGATGGGGTTGGAGTTTGATGGAGACCCTTCCTCTCCTCTCCTGGCTGTACCTCCTTGGCATCTCTAGAGGTGCTGGGAAGGGATGTCCCAAAAAATGGGTGGGGGTCAGGAAAGCCTTCAAGCAGGACCCTCCCTTGGGGTGTCTGTGTAGGAAGGGTGTCCCAGCCATGGGTTGCACAAGAAAATGGATATTTTATAATATTCACACAAACACAGACGTGCTGCAGCCTCCCCATGGTGGGGGGACATCTCCCAGGCCTCCTCCACCCCCAGCCTGTCATTTGGCTTTAACACAGCCAAAGACATAAACAACAAGATGCAAATTAAAGTGCCAAGTAGCACCTCCTTCTTTGTGTTTAAGGACAAATATAATATCCTGCCTCTTAAAATCTAAACTCAGAGCCCACAGCAGGCCAAAGGCACATAAGGGTGTTAAATAAGTTCTTGGGGAAACAGGGCAGTATCTCCCTGCAGCCTTTGCAACCCAAAAAGGAAAACGGCTGCACTTCCTCCAGCAGGCAGTGTAAAAAGTTTCATGACAGATGGCAGGATGTTTATCTGCCTAAACTTAATCAGATTGAAGTGATAGGCTTAGTATAATAGAACAAAAAAAGGAAGAATTAAGGGTTAAAAAAGAAATTCTCAGTGATCCATCACAGCCTGAACGTTTGACCAGGGTTTACAGCATCCTTCCATGTGTGTGGATGCTGACAGTATCATACACTTTGGCTGAACCACTACCCAGAGGATAGAAGATGCAAAAACAGACCCAAAAAATTGCACTAAGGTCATTTTCTCAGATGTAGTTTATTTTATTAGAACTTAATTCCCAGCCCCCTTTCCCCTGCTGTCCCCAAGGGGTGCTATTCAGCTCCAGGGCCAGCTGGTAGCTCTGAAAAACAAGTGTTCCAAAACTCCAGAAACACAGAGCATCATTTTGGTGTCCTTCAGTCACTGGGGTCGAGTTCAGCTGTTGGGACTGCTGGAAGCAGCTTGAATTATCCTTTACCTCCTGCTTGCAGATGCAGAGAGCAGTGGCTGAATGTAGTGGCCAGCAAATGCTGCCTGAGAGTATGGATATATATTAAATATGTGTAACACAAACATAATTACATGATTTCCATGGTCCCCTGGAGAACTGAAGCAGGTTAAAGCCTAAAGTCTTGCCCAAAGCCCAAGGGGGTAAAGAGCTGCTGGTATGTTGATTAAAAGGGGACTTTAGCCTCTAAAAGGTGACCCTTGCAAACACTGCCATGTGTCAAGTGAGGGTGGGAAGAGGACCTGCAGGAACAACCCCTAATCTTTTCATTTTTTGACCCATTTTGAGCCCCTTCCATGCTCTTGCCAGGTGCAGCATGGTCAGGTGTTACCACACATGCTGCAACAGCTGCACTGCAAAACTGACAGAGAAACCAAAATCCCTGGGGAAGGGCTGCAGTGCCTGGAGGCAGGGAGCAGCTCCTTTCAGAAATCCTTATTCTGATTAGCAGGAAAAAGGCAAATCTCATGCCTGTCCTGGCCCTGGATGTGCTGAGCACTCCTGGCAGCAGGAGGGGGCTCAGCTGGAGCTGAAACTCCAGCAGATTCTCAGCAGGCACATGGGGAGGTTCAGTGAGCACAGAATCCTGGAATCCCACAATAGTTTGGGCTGAAGGGACCTTAAAGCTCATCCTGCTCCATCCCTGCCATGGGCAGGGACACCTTCCACTGTCCCAGGCTGCTCCCAGCCCCATCCTACCTGGCCTTGGGCACTTCCAGGAGTGAAGCAGCCACAGCTTCTCTGGGCAAACTGTGCCAGGGTCTCCCCACCCTCACAGGGAGCAATTTCTTCCCAAAATCCAATCTAAACCTTTTGAAGCTATTCCCCCTTGTTCTATCAATACATGCCCTTGTGAAAAGTCCATTTTCAGCTGGAGCTGTGTCTGACTCGGCCCCAACAGCTCAGGGACTGCACATCCAGGATTTTAATCAGGAAACCCACACCCCCCCACACACAGGCTGCTCACAAGACCCCCTCACAGAGAGAAGGCAAAGACCATCAGTCCCATGGCCTTTTCCAGCTTTTCCAGTTGGGGAAAAGCATTTCAGGTCCTGTAAACACCCCTGCCAGTGCTGATCCAACTGAACACGATGACAAAACAGGCCAGATCCAAAGGACAGGGTTTATTCCAGACAGGATGGTGCTGTTATTCCCTAATGTGTTACTGATTCATGGGGCTGCTCCAGATGGGCTGATCCTGGCAGAACCACAGTTCCTGCCTTGCCAAGGCACGTGGGGCTGTCCCCCTCCCCAGGGCCTTTGTGCCACCCGAGGCACAGGAGCTTGGTGGCCTCCATCAGCCCCCAGGGACATGCCCCATGCCACTCAGGCTCCCCAAAAGGCACAGGACATGGGGGTTAAACAGGTAAATCCATTCATGATGGGGTGCCTGGGTTCCCTGTTTCCCACCTCAGGCTGGGTCCCCAGTGTGAGCAAAGATAAAAAGGGGGAAAGCCCCCCAGCATCACCCAGAGGCTGAGGCCCTCACAGGCACCATTCAAGGACATTCAAGGCTTTCCAGAGGACAGCAGGTTTGGTGCTCCATGGATGAGAGGTCAGCAGAACATTTTAGTACCATCAGGTGAAATATTTTGGAAGGTGGGTGCCCACCACCCTGCACAAGGCTGGGCTGGGTTCATTCAGGTGCGATGGAGGTGGGAGAGGATGAAGTGGTTCCATGGAGGGGCTGCAGGTGAGGGCTCATCCCTGCTCCTGCTGGGATTTACAGCTCCTGGAGGATGATGTCCACAGCCTCAGCCAGGTTGTTCACGTAGGCATCAGGCTTCACCTCGGGGTGGTTTTCATCGGACGGCCTGGAAGGAGACAGAGGGGCAGAGCTGAGCAAGGGCAGGATCCCAAACAGGCCCCATGTCCCTGGTCATCCTGCTGCTCACAGAGCCCTGGCAGTGCCAGTGGAACACCCCTGAGGTTCACAGAATTCAGAGAATATTCCCAGAATGACCAGGTTGGAAGAGACCTTCAAGATCATCGAGTCCAACCCAGCCCCAACACCTCAACTCAACCCTGGCACCCCGTGCCACATCCAGGCTTTGTTAAACACACCCAGGGATGGTGACTCCACCACCTCCCCAGCAGCCATTCCAGAACTTTATCACCTTTCTGTAAAAAACTTTTTCCTGATATCCAACCTGTATTTCCCTTGAGGCTGTGTGCTCTGGTTCTGTCAGTGCTGCCTGGAGACAGAGCCCAACCCCAGCTGAGCACAGCCACCTTCCAGGAGCTGTGGAGAGTGTTGAGGTCACCCCTGAGTCTCCTTTTCTCCAGGCTGAGCACCCCCAGCTCCCTCAGGGGTTCCTCACAGGGTTTGTGTTCCCAGCCCCTCACAGGATTTCTGTTCCTCACAGGGTTTGTGTTCCCAGCCCCTCTCCGGCCTCGTTGTCCCCTCTGGACACATCCCAAGGTCCTTCCCAAACTGAGGAGCAGAGCTGGGCACAGCACTCGAGGTGTGCCCTCACCTGTGCCAGGTACAGGGGCAGGATGAGCTCCCTGCTCCTGCTGCCCACACCATTCCTGACTCACATTCCTCCCTCTTCCCTCGTTTTTCCTCTTTCTTTCTCCCACACCCAGGTCTTTCCCACATGCCCAGGTGGATCCTATGTCCTTTGTGCAAATGAGCTTGGCAAAATTTGGCAAAGCCTCAACTGGAAGAGAATTTCCAATTAGTTAATTAATTAATCCAAGTCAATGCACTGCATTTTACATGGCATTTCTTCTCCCAGGCAATAGCAGCACCAGCAGGGATGGCTGCAAGGACACCTCACTGCAAGCCTGGGACCCTACAGAATTACAAATAATTATTCTCCCATAGTTTTTATCTATGGTAGGGAAAAGAACTATTCCCTTTCAACCTAGAGACACAGAAAGTCTTCACACTGCTTCAGTGAAGAGCAAGATTCTGCCAGGGTTTAATTTTGCAGCACCAGCATCTCTTGCAAACCCACCAGTGGTGGTTTGAAACACCACCAAAATAAGGTTCAGTCTCGCCCTCCTCCAAGTCACCACCCCAAAGCAGAGTGACTTGAAGCCATTTTTTGCCAATACTTAATTAGCAGCGCTGGCCTAACGAGGCCCAGCTGCACAATCCCATTTTGCTGATTTAGCAGCACTGCTGGTGGGCAGGGGGGCAGATGTGGGAGGCAGAAATTTCCCAAACCTCACGGTCCTGTTATGGCTCTTGGGCTGAGAAACCCAGCAGCTGCTGGAGGGAAAACATATGTATTTTATATGCTTAGTGACCTTCCTTTGGGAGAGAGATGAGAGCCCAAATGTCCACCTCCCACCTCTCCTGCTCCCTGGGAAGGGCAGACCTTTATTTAGCACAGCCTCTCCGTGGGGAAGATGCATTTCCCACCGGATGCAGGGGAGGCAGAGAGATGATTATTATTATTATTAATGATGTGCAGGATTTGGTGAGCACTTGTCTGTACAAGCACCAAATAATTTCTTCTGTCCCAGCACTGAAGCTCCCCAGGGCTGTTTCCTTCCTGCTCTTTTCTCAGCCATGCTCCTCACGTCCAAAGGCACGGCCTCTTTTGGAAGCCCACACTGTGTGCTTGAGGCTCTGCTTGCTGCAAAGTCGTGCTATGAACTAGGAAAAATAAAATATTTGTGTATTTTCAGCTGATTTTCATCTTTCCTTGTGTCACCTGCAAAGCCATGCCCAGCATCAGGCTCCATGAAGCAAACTCTACATCTTATTAAAGGGTGGATTGGTCTTTAGATATCCCAATTCCATCTTGTTGCAGGGCTAGGGAGCAATGAGAATAATAGTTATGATGGTTTTTTTCGGTTTTTCTCAACTGAAAAAGAGTTTGCTGATGGAGAAAAACCTTCACACATAAATCAAGTAAAAATCCAGTGTGTATCTATCCCTGCAGTGGTAATTATTGCTCACTCTTGATTTAACCAAGTGGCTTTGATGAACACAAAAATAACTTTGGGCATACAGTAAAATATCAATTTCTTGCCACTAATCCTTAATTTGAGTGGAGAGCTAAATAAAGCAACTAACAAAACTTCTCTTTGCATTCTACACCCTGAAAAATGTTCATTCCTAGATTACATATTAGGAGAAAAATTTAAGAACTGCTTGAAATGAATGCTTCTACAAGAAATTTTCAATTACACAGCACTCTTTGATCTATTAAAAGGATTTTGTGATTAATATCTGTGCTGATTGCACAGAAATCCATCTGTAACTCAGCTGCTAAATGCCAGTCATCAAGGAAAAGTCCTGTATACACTTAATGTGTCCTGTGAAAAGGGGGGGTGTGCATGTATATGTGTGTATATATGTACAGATATTTATGAAATAAGATATTTTTACCCATTTGCCCAAATACCACGGGATCACATCACACTCCTGGCTCCACTGAAGTTAATATTAAAACACAATAAATAAAGTTGTCTGAACTCTGCAGGAAAGCAGAGAGCTGGAACAAACACCCCTCCCTGCTCTCTTGCCTTTTCCTAGAGCTCTGTGTGCGTGCAGCTCTTGTCCCTGTCACTGCCACCACAATTCCTGTTTCATGTGGCCCCTTCCTTTGTCTCACAGGCATTTTGTGGCTCACAAAAACAGCCGAGGGATGGGTTTGCTCCCCCCTCTGGCTCAGAGCTGCTCTTGAAGCATCCCAAGAAAGGGAACTGCAAGCAATAACCCCCAAACTCTAATGCCAGGAAACAAAGCTCCAAGTGCAGCAAAACAACTCAGGAGCCCAAATCTGGGTGCCAGAAGTGAGGCAAAAGAGAGAGCTGTGCCATAAAACCCCTGGGCAAACCCAAGATGCTGGAGGATGAGCCCTGATTCTGTTGTCCAGAGGGAGCAGAGACCATGGCTCTACACCAGCCTCTCCTCTGGGGAATTTGGGCTTTTTCCTAAGAGAAACACCAGCCACTGGGAGTTTTAAGATGCCCTGAGGTGAAGCAGTGCTCTGGAGCTCTGCCCTGATGTCCTGGGCATTGCTTTGATGGGTCAGAGCTTCCCTGGACAAGGTCACTGGGTGCAGGTGGAAGCTTGAGCCAAGAGCAGATTTTGGTCTCGTGGGTCCAGCTCAGTTTCTCTCTCAGTGGCAACAACCCCACAGCAGCTGCAGGTCACAGAACTGACAGTGAAGGTTATATTTTAATACTTTATTTTTTTATTTTCCATACATAAATAATAATAATTAAAAAAATCTAAAAATATCTCTAATTTGCTAGGTCAGTTGAAGAAGTTAGCATTGAGCTAACTTTAGGACAGACTCCATCCGATTTTTTTCTCATAGGAGAGTCTGGTTGCAGAGAAGAGCATAAATCAAAATGACAGAAAATTATATACTGCAGCTGAACACTGAGCTGTCAGCACTCCTGGCCAGTGCACAAACTTGCTTGTGAAAAATCAACTACAGCCTTGGGAAACACTCTCTTCCATAAAGCAGGACTCCTTGGAGTGGCTGAGCACCACGGCCTGGAAGTGCACACCATTTTCCAGCCCAAACTGCCCATGGCACTGTGAAATGTGGCATTTCTACATTGCCTTTGGTGGCCACCTTGCTGGCATACACAGGGGTCAGGGAAAGGAGTGGCTCAGCACAGGATACTCTGGAATCCAGGGTGGTCCTTGCTGTCCTTATGGGGACACAGGGTGATGTCAGGGGAACGTGTTCTTCAGGAGAAAAGCCACCCAAAAAGCCCAGTGCATCAGAGCACGTGGACAAAATGAACTATTTTTAACACGATGCAGCTCAGACATGGTCCTGAGGCTCTTGTGTCCATCAAATGCTCCTCAGGAGATGCCTGAGCATCCTCCTCTCCCAGGGGCTGTTTGGCACCGTCAGGGCTGCAGCAGCTCTGTGGCCCCCTGTGCCCTGAGCCAGACCCTCATCCCACACTGAACTGGTTAGCTCAGAGCTGCACCTGGAGACATCAGGAAGCAGCAGGCAGCTGCAGGAAACTGGCTCTGCTATTTTAACTCCTCACTTGGGAAGAGAAGCTCCAGTTCTCAGGGAAACCCCAGGATCAGAACTGCTGCCTGTCAGAAAGTGATGGTTTCCTCCTGGTGAAGCATGAAACCAAATTGTAAGGGGCTGATTTAAAAAAAATCAGCTTCTGCAAGGGTAAGAAGGTTCACTTGCTGTGTGGGTCAGATTTCCACTTGGCTAAGTCTGTTCTGCCAGGCTGGATTCCCTGCCTAGACTCAGCTATCAGGAATGGTCTTGGGCTGTTCTAACTTCTGTGCAATTCTCTGGGCTGGCTCACCCAGATGCAGCTGAGCATCTCTGAGGGATGAAGGGATCTATGCTGGCTTGCCTGGTCCTTTCAGGAACTACAAGGAGTCTTTGAAGCAAATGCAGAGGGAAGATGATACATAGAAAGATGACCCCAAACCCACAGACTTTGAGTTAATTCTTTTGTTTCCCACAGCAGCTGGGATTCCAGGTGTGGTCTGTGGGCTGAGAGAGGATTGGATGGTGCTTCCAATGGCACTGGCACAGTGAATCACTGCTGGAAAGGGAACTGGACCTGCAGAACATGGAATGTGACTGATTCCCTACGAGCTGGGAGCAAACCATCCCACCAGGAGCTAAGAGGGGATGTCTGAGCTCCAGGCCCTCCCTCACACACCCGCTGCAATGGCCCCAGCGCCCCACTTGTGCTCTTCTCCAGCAAAACATGGGGAACAAAGAGGAAACAGAGAATATTTAACAGAGAAAAGGCCAAGTGGAGATAGCTGATGTTGGACAGTCATGTCACAGGGATGGAAACAGCGTTGGGATCCAGCTCACTCTGAGACCTGCTGAAACCTGACTTGAGA